GGCTAGGCCCAAAACGTCAGCTTTCCTGCTCCTCTGATGCTGCTTGGCCTGCTGTGTTCATCCAGCTCTACACCTTGTTATCTCAAAAGAGTGCTTTTCTTCCCACTGTCTTCATTCTGTACTTTTATGTAAACAAAAGTCAACATATTCCTTATATTTGATTGGTCTACAGTTACCCTGCTCAGTTGTGAAAACAAAAATTACTGGAGATCACAGCAGGTCAGGCGAGTCGTCATCTAGACTCGCAACGTTAGCTTGCTTTCTCTCCATGGACGCTGCCTGACCCGCTGTAATCTACAGTTTATTTTCATTACAGATTCCAGCATCTGCAGTAATTTGCCCCTGCCTGCTTGGTTGTGATTTTGGTATAGTTTTCCAAATGTAAACTTGAAGCCAATGCAATGCAAGACTGACATAGAAATGTGCAGGAGTAGGTATGTTGCACAGGACATCATATTAAATACACATCTAGGGAAACTCCATGAATGAGTGTTACTTACACCACTGGAAGACATGGGACAGTAGCACATCAGATCTGTCCAGTTCAGCAGTAAGTCCGTGTCAACTTGAGATTTTCTCCCTCCTACCAAAATATTTATGAATGCAATGAAATATCGCACAAAAAAAATCTACTTTCATAAATGAAAGACATACATACTTAAGCACAGTGATCAACTTATTGTTATGTATACAATGTGGGACTGTGTGTGTTTCAGAATTGCACTTGATTTTGTATTTGATCATCAACACAATTTAGTATTTACATAGCACCATTTATTTAGTGAAACATCCCAAAGTGTACTTCATCTGTCAAAAATTAACTTGGAGCCATAGGGGACTTTGAGTTTTGAGTAGGACTCTCTTAAGCTTTAATTCTGAATTGATAAAGCCAGGACTGCTAGGAAAATATAACACTTTAGTTGGTTTTATCGTGAACTAACTACCGTGGAAACTAATGTTGATGTGTTTCTAATGACCAGAAACTTGGGAGCCCTACCCATCAGCTACTGTAATCTCCTGTTAGCAATTATGGTCTTATGGACAGAATGTTTCAAAGTGGAGTTTAATAGGACAGGTCAAATGAAGAAACTCCTTCTGGACATCATGGATAAAGCAGCAGATCGCAGCAGTATTCAACCGCTCAGACAACTGGGATTCTTTGTCTAAACACCCAGCTTACCTCATTTTCATAATTTTCTCTTGAGACTTACAAATGTCGTAGGTTCATACTTCTGAATATAAGCTCAAGTGGGCTCTCAGCATAATATGAAAAGACTGTTCTTTCATGTGCTGTCTTTTAGGTAAGCAGCTAACCTAAACCCTACCTTTTCAATTGGATATTAGTAATAAAGTGATATTCTGAGGAGACCCCTTTTAAAAAGAATTAAGTGGTTGGAAGTGCATATTCATCTGAAATCTCTCTGCATAGATGAAAATTCTCACAGGTGCCTAGTTGCAGCTGCAAGGTCTGAGGGACATTAGTCCTGTGGAGAAGCTAGACTTGTTCTCCTTAGAGCACAGAAGGATAAGAAGAGATACTCAAAATCAAGAATGGATTATTTTGATAGAATTAATGAGAGAGAATTGTTTCAAGTGGTGGTAAGATCGGAAACCAGGCGATGTGAACTTGAAGTGTTTGGCAAAAAAACCAGAGACAATATTACATGAGAACTTTAGAAACAGGAGCTGGAGTATAAACCATTGAGCCCTTCAGCCCTGCTTGACATTCAATGATCGTGGCTGACTTAATGTAACTTCACTTTTCTGTACTGTCTTCACATCCCTTCACTTACTTAGAGCCAATTGATTTTTGGATACTGACTTGAGCAAACACAATTCTCCAGCGTAGAGAATTCTAAAGATTCACAATCAATTTGACTGAAGACATTTCTCTTTGTCAGTCCTAAATGCCTGATGCCTTATTCCAAGACTGAGACCCCGTGTTCTTGATGTCCCAAGCTGGAGTAAATAAAAACATTTACTTAACGCAGTGAGTTATGACCTGGAACACAGATTCAACCAGTCATAGTGTTTCAATCTGAAACGTAACTGATAAAGAGTTGAAGCTGAAAGATTAGAAGGTCCATGAGGAACAGCAAGGGAGAGAGATGAATTGGAAAGCTGAATAAAACAGTACAATGAGCTTAATGGTCTCTTTCTGTGCTGTAAGAGTCTATGGAAAAGTCAAACATTATGTATATACCTGTTAGTAAGCTGACGATGAGACCAACGATTATAACGATTAAAATTGCAAAGGTGCTTAAATACAAGTAGGATAAGGAATACAAGGATTTCACTGCTTCAGCTCTGTGGAATGAAAACAATCCTCATTAAAACGTAACTTCATCATCAACACAGCTCTTATTGAGCAGTGTGGCTTGCAAACATGAATGGGTTTTTAGCCAAATATGTGCTTCCTATTTTAAAAACTTCTCTAAGCCTTTCCCCCTCCTTAGAGCTTTACAATTAACATCAATTGGCAGGTGAGAAACCTGCTTCCAGGTGATGTCATAACTACAGTGGGTGTTACTGTGAATATTCGCAAACTCAATGGGTATGAAAGTTCCAACATGGGATCTCTTAACCCTTGGGATCCCTTCTTGTTTTAAACATTGCTGATGGTGGGGGTGGGGGTAGTTGAGAACATCCCTCTTACCCCTCTCTGTTCCACGCTAGCAACAGTATTGGGATCAGAAAAAATACATCAAAACAAAAAGATTCATGAGCATCAAATCAATATAATTTACACAGAACATCTGGGGAATGGTATGAACTTTGAGAATGCGCCGCTTCCCATCTATGGGATGGAAATCTGCCCTCCTTATGTGGTCTGGACTACACGTGACTCCAGGTCCACAGGAATGCAGTTGACTTTTAACCGCCCCCAGAAATGACAGAACAAGCCACTCAGGTCAAGGAGCAATTGGGAAAAGGCAACCAATGCAGACCTTTGCCAGTGACATCTACGTCCCATTAAAGAATAATGCAAAACATTCTTAAATTGATGGTGATGGCTAGCACGAGGGGACATAGCTTTAAATTGAGGGGTGATAGACATAGGACAGATGTCAGAGGTAGGTTCTTTACTCGGTGTAGTAAGGGTGTGGAATGCCCTGCCTGCAACAGTGGGGACTCGCCAACTTTAAGGGCATTTAAATGGTCTTTGGATAAACATATGGATGATAATAGAATAGTGTAGGTTAGATGGGCTTCAGATTGGTTTCACAGGTTGGCGCAACATCGAGGGCCAAAGGGCCTGTACTGCGCTGTAATGTTCTATGTTCTATGTTCTATGTTCTAATGCACCCTCTGATTTGAAGGAGCTCCTTACACTCTTCACTGGATCAGATCAATAGTATCAGAGGAATAGCATGAGAGTAAATAAGCATTTAGACATATGTAAAACAAATGTAAAAAAGGGGTCAAAGACCTCAATTGAACCTTTTTGCTAAATTATGTATTGCAGAGCACAGCAGTGGATGCAACTATTCTAAGAGATGACCATCATTGATAGAAATGTTTTATTTTTATCCCCATTAGTTTTCAGTGTTGTCCTATTAGAGGATTGGGGACATATCAGTCTTATCAGTGGAATAATTCCTAAATTAGCACACCAAGCATCAGCAATTTGAGATATCCTGGAATGGATAGGTATAGAGGTTTAACATTTGTACAGGTGGCTCCCATCTTAATGCCACAATGACATCCATTTAGTCGACAAGAGTTTAGATATATTTCCAGTGAACTAACTGGCTTCACCTCATCTTTGAGTTTCCGTCCATAGTTTTTACAGACCTGCCTTTGCTGGACGTGTTGGTTAGAGTTGTGAGAAGGATGGTGGTTGCCCATGATGTCTCGTTCCTTGACTGGCTGACATTACATCCAGCAATGCTGAGGTTCAGAGGTACTGTTACCTCAGAGGGTGGTGGCTGGATCAGAGCTCCAATTCCAATCCATAAAGCAAACACAAACCCAGTGAGGAGTCCTACAATTCCACCCTGTGGTATACCAGAAAGGCGACAGCTCAGATCAAATGAACTTATTAAGATGAAAGTTAGTACAGAACTTTATTAATTGTGAGGCTTGAGGATTATAAAGGCGAATTGCTGAATACACGTAAGGCTGGCATGGACAGTGTTTTGGTCACTTAGTGAATTGAGGGGTGGACAGGGAAGTGAAATTGAGGCCCAAGATCAGCCACAATCATAATGAATGGTAGAAGTGACTCAATGAGCCATCTACTCCTGTTCCATGATGCACCTGTAGTCTGCCAGCACTTCTTTTTAATGAACTCTGCCTACGCCTTTCATTGACAATTTAAAACTTCTTTCAAATCTCCTCTGAGCCTTCTCCTTCCCAAAGAAATCAGTTCCAACTTCTCCAATCTATCCTCATCATTGAAGCCTCTCATCCCGATGACTGTCTTGTTGTGATCAGGTCATGTTTTTGTAAGGTGGATTGAGGAATAGTTATTGGCCGGATACTGGAGAAAACTCCAATGCTCTTTTGTAAAATTGTGCCAATGGTGGTTGATTTAAGGTCTCATCTAAAAGATGGAACCTCCAACAACACGGTGCCCCATCAGTACCGCACTGAAGTATCAGCTCTGGATTACATGTAGACAAAGCCCTAGAATGGGACCTTGTGGTTCAGAACCAAAGTGTTACCAACTGAGCCTGCTCCCTAATTCTTGCATTATTGGACTTGAAAATTCGTATTGTCCTTGGAAAGTTTGATTTATTTCTGACTGTAAACTTTTATTTCATACATTCTGACTTCTGCCCCATTGCTTTATAGGGAATGTCTATCAATTTTGAATGCTTAGCCCTGTCCTACAGCCATTGGGACGGAAACGCAAATCAAAATAAGGTTGCAACACTGTAGATTAAGAGCAATGGCTACAGGAGAAAGGTATTTGAGCCTGTTTTTCCATCAGTTAGTTCACAGTTGATCTGCAAGTTAAGTCTTTTTACCCACAATTTTTTTTTCAATATCCCTTAATACTCAAAAGACTCAAAGACATAGCAGAACATTTAGAGAGCATTAATAGGATTGGACAAAGCCAACATGGGTTTATGAAAGGCAAATCACGCTCAACAAATCTGTTGGAGTTTTTTGAGGATGGAACTCATGGAATAGAGGAGGGAGAACCAGAGGATGTAATGTATTCTGACTTTCAGAAGACTTTTGATAAGGTCTCTCATAAGTGGTTAGTGGGCAAAGTTAAAACAAATGGATGGGGGCAATATATTGTGATGGATTGAGAATTGGTTGGCAGGAAACAGATTAGATGTAAGTGAGTCTTTTTCTGAGTGGCAGGTAGTGACTAATGGAGTACCTTAAAGACCAGTGTTTGGATCCCAGCTATTCACAATATATGTAAATGACCCAGATGAAGTAACCAAACACAACATTTCCAATTTTGCAGACAATACAAAACTGGATAGAATGAGTTGTGAGGAGGATGCAAGGAGTCTTCAAAGTGATTTTGAAAAATTGAGTGAGTGGGCAAACACACGGCAGATGTAGTACAACATACCTAAATGAGATGTTATACACCAGTATGAAAAAGAGAAAGGAAGAACATTATTTAAATATTGCAAAGTGTGGTTGCACAAAGGGATCTGGGTGTCCACGTAGATCTGTCTACGAAAGTAGACAGGCAGATGCAGCGAGCAATCAGCTAGGCAAATGGTTTAGTGGCCTTCATTACAAGAGGATTTGAGTTCAGAAGTACGAATGTCTTACTGCAGTTATGCAGGATCTTGGTGAGACCACACCTGGGGTATTGCACACCATATTGGTCTCCCTGCCTAAGAAAGGATATATTCCTCATAGAGGGAGTGCAGTGAAGGGTAACTAGGCTGATACTGGACATGATAGCGCTGTCATATGAAGACCCATTGATTTGACTGTGTCTGTATTCACTAGAGTTTAGCAGGATGAGCTAGGATCTGATTGAAACATACAAAAAACATATGCTGAACAGACTAGATGCAGGTTGGATGTTTTCACTGGTTGGGGAGTCTGGTATTGGGTCATATTCTCAGGATACAGAGTACACCATTTAGGACTGAGATGAGGAAATAATCTCTTCACTCAAAGGGATGTGAACCTGTGGAATTCTTTACCATAGAAGGCTGTGGAAGCCGAGTTACTGAATATATTCAAGAAAGAGAGACATCAATTTTTAGATTTTAAGGACATCAAGAGGTATGGGGAGAAAGCAGGAATATGGCTTTGAGATAGAGAATCAACTATGATCATATTGAATGACAGAGCAGGCTGAAAGGCCTACTCTTGCTCCCAATTTCTGTGTTTCTGTTTTTCTATGTTCACAAGCAGTGTCACAAAATCGGTTATCTTTTATGTATTCTTATAAGATTCTTAGGTTTAGCAGGGTAGACATAGAGAGGCTGCCTCCCTTGTTGAACAGTCAACGATCACAGGGCATATCCTTAGAGTAAGGGGTTGCCCATTTATGACAGAGATGAAGAGGATATCCCCTTGAATCTCCTTGATTCCCTTACTGATTAAAAATCTTTCTCAGCCTGGACTATAATTAACAACCCAGCATCAATAACCCTTTGCGGTAAAGAGTTCTACAGATTCACCATCCCTGACAGAAGAAATTCCTCTTATCCTTGGGGATAAGGCAGGAAAGTGGAATTGAGAATTATTAGATGACCCATTGTTTTGTTAAGTGACCAAACAGACACAATGGGCCGAATGGCCTACTTCTGCTCCTCTGTTTTTTATATGGTTTTATGTCACTCCGAACCAAATTTGATAATTTACTGAAGGTGATCGATGTCCATTTTCTACACAGTACACCCATCTTTGATAAATGAAATTAAGCTTGTGTAGAGAATTTTTATGCAATTAATAGTCCAGAGAATCTGAATTTAATTTGTTTGCTTGTTTGGCATTTTGAGAATTGAATTTAGTTTAATACCTAGAAATGAAAAAAAAAAAAAAAAAAAACTGGTGTTAGATGAAATAAGAAGTGACCTTGAAGGTGCTGGATTGTTTTAAAATGAGCAGAAGGAATTGGGTCATTCGTATCTGGCCTGGCATGGTCTGGATTCCAGTGCCACAGCACTAACATTGAATCTTACTCTTACCGTCTCCAAAAGTGTACCAGCAAAATCCTCAGCTGTATGAGTAGCATTAAGATTCAGGGCATCCAGGAGGTGGCCCATAAATGCCTTGTCAGAGACATCTAATTCCTGAGAATCAATAGGAAAAGGATTTGCTCGGCTGCAAGTCAAATATGGGATGGGATTGGAATTTCTAAAGGGGCATAGATTTGATTTTAAAAGTTGAGTTCATTATTAATTGAGAGACTGCACACAATCACAGCTAAGAAAGAATTGCCACATTTTAGAGCTGTATCCTGTGTCTTTTATCCAAGAGCAAGTCATACTCACAATGCAATTGGCCCAGGGAAACAGAATGCCTAAAGTGAACAGTCCCAAGATCGGTCCTCCAATGATTCCAAAAATACTGAGAGCTGCCTATAAAAGTAAGGACACAGTGGAGATGAAGTACCTACAAGCAAGTATTCTGTTGAGAAAATCAATGAGACTTGCATCTCAGAGGAGCCTTTCCCATCATCAGGCCATCCCACTCCTGCTTTACAGCCAAGTACAGATGCGCTCTCCTAAAACAGATTGGGGCCAAGGTCATGTAGGACTTAGGATTTTGCTAGATTTCTGGTCGGACATCTCTGGCCAATTCTGGGTCAAGTGTCTCTTATGGAATGAATTAGTGTGCAATTGGCAAAACAGAGTCTGGCACAATGCAGAGCCAAGCTAAATTGTCCAGGTACGTTTATTTTTGTGGAGTAAAATAAATCAAAATAGTGAAAACCGAAAGAACTGCGGATGCTGTAAATCAGGAACAAAAACAGAAGTCGCTGGAAAAGCTCAGCAGGTCTGGCAGCATCTGTGAAGAAAAAAATCAGAGTTAACGTTTCGGGTCCGGTGACCCTTCCTCATAGAAGTAGATGGTGAGCTAGGAAGACACTTTTTCCATTAGTAGAGGGCCAATAACTGGGGGAATAAATTTAAAGTCAGAAGGTAGAAGGCTCAGAGATGAGTTGAGGAGAATTATTTTCACTCAGATGGTGGTGGGAGTCTGGAACACATTGCCTGAAAGGGTGTTTGAATCAGAAACTCTTAATTGATTTTCCGCAGTATTTAGATATTCGGTTGCCTTCCAATAGCCTCCAGGGCTATGGGCCAAATGGTAGAAATAGGATTACTGTGGTCAGATCTTTGTGGACCAGCATGCTGGTCATTAGCTGAATGGCCTTCTTTTGTGCTGTAAATGTCTCTAAGACCATAATAAATAGGGACAGGAATAGGCCATTCAGCCCCTCCAGCCTGTTCTGCCATTCAATAGGATTATGGTTGATCCAACGTTCCTCACGTCCACTTTCCTGCATTTTCCCCATTGCCTTTGATTCCCCTACTGATCAAGAATCTACCTATCTCAGCCTTAAGTATACACAAGGGCTGTGCCCACACCACTCTCCATGGCAAGGAGTTCCATCAACTCTCAGAGAGAACTCTGAGAGAAAAAAAATCCTCCTCATCTCAGTCTTAAATTAGCACCTCCTTTATTTTTGACACTAAGTCCTACAGTCTCCCAAGCCCCTTAAATGGTTAATTGAGATAACCTCTTATTCTTCTCAAATCCGGTGAGTAAAGTCCCAACCGATTTAGCCTTTGCACATAAGACAATCCCTCCATATCAGGGATCATCCTCATGAATGTTCTCTGAACTGCCTCCAATAAAATGATATCTTTCCTTAAATAAAAGAACTAAAACTGCTCATTGTACTCTGGATGTGGTCTCACCTGCACCTTGTGTAGCTGCAGTAAGACTTCCCTATTTCAAGTGGAAATATGGACCAACATTCCATTAACTTTCCTGATTACCTGCTGCACCCGTGCTAGCTTTTGTTCTCCTTTCCAAAATGAACTTCATATTTTCCCACATTATACTCCATATTCCCACTTACTTTACCTCTTGATATATCTCTGTAAACTGTTTGCATTTCTCTCAGAGCTCACCTTTTTACCTATTTTTGTGTCATCTGCAAATTTGACTACAGTATGTTCACCTACTTCCTTCCAAGTCATTAATATTATAAACAGTTGTGGTCACAGCAGTGATCCCTCTGGAAACCCATCGGTCAGGAGTCACCAACCTGAAAAAGATCCCCTTATCCCCACTTGCTGAGTGCTGCCCATTAGCCAATTGCCCATCCATGCCAATATATTACTTCCATCACCATGGGCTCTTATGACTTAACTTTTGTGAGGTACCTTGTTAAATACCTGCTGGAAATCAAAATACAACACATCTTCTGATTCCCCTCTATCTACCTGGGTTGAGAATTCTTTGAAAATCTCTAAGAAATTAGTCAGGCACAATTTCCCTTTCATGAAACCATGCTGCCTCTGTTTGATTAGATTATGATTTTCTAAATGTTCTGCTATTACTTTCTTAATAATTGATTCCAATACTTTTCAAACAACAGATGTTAGGCTAATTGGCCTATAATTACCTGCTTTTTGCCTCCCTCCCTTTTTAAATAGGGGTGTCACATTAACAGTTTTCCAATCCTCTGGTAGTTCTCCAGAATCCAATGGTGTTTGAAAAATTACAACCAATGCATCCACTATCTCTGTAGCTATCTCTTCTGGGAGGTAAGCCATCAGGGCCAGGTGACATATCTGCCTTCGTCCCCATTAGTTTGTCTGATAGAACGTCTTTAGTGATGGTGATGGTACTTAATTCCTTCCCCAAATTTTTTAGTATTAATGGAATGTTTGAAGTATCTTCCTCCATGAAAACTGATGCAAAATATCTGTTTACCTCTCTGATATTCCCGTGTACCCCAAAACCATCTCCCAGATTCATTTTCTAATGGGCCCATGTTCATTTTCACCGTTTTTTTATATATTTAAAGAAGCTCTTATTGTCAGTTTTATATTCCTTGCTACTTTGCTCTCATAATTTATTTTCTCTGTCATTACTATCTTTTAAGTCCTCCCTTTACTGGATTCTGAATGCATCCCAGTCTTCCATACAATATGACTTTGGGCTCCTTGTATGCTTTTTCTTTCAAGTTATCACTCTCCTTAACTTCCTTGGTGAGCCATGGTTGGATTATTCTTCTCTTAGAATTTGCCCTCCTTGCTGGCATGCATTTTTGCTGGGAGTCATGAATTACCTCCTTTAATGTCTACTCCTGCTTGCTTACTGTCATTTCTACTAAACTATCAACCCAGTTCACTTTAGCTAATTCTATCCTCATTTCATTGTAATTCCCTTTATTTAAACAATTGTTTCTGACCCAACTTCCTCACTCTCGAACTGAATATTAGATTCTATCATGTTATGATCATTGATTTCTAGGGGATCTTTCACTCAGAGGTCAGTATTAAAGCTGCCTCATTACCCATTAACAGATCCAAGATAGCCTGCTCCTTAGTTGGCTCCATGACACATTATTCAAGAAAATTACCCCTTGTATACTCTGTGAATTCATTGTCATAGCTACCCTTTCCAATTTGATTAAAATCATCCACAGTTAATTTATATAAGTCTATGTGTCATTGCAACTATGGTCTGTTATGTATAAATTTAACATTATCACCACACTTTTCAATTCTAACCTTCTAGAAATGTGTTGCATAAGTTAACAGCTATAAAAGGGTTAACCACTGGGCCAAGTAGAAGCTCTACCCACTCCAATATATAACACAGCTGGATGGAGCATTGGTCAGTTCAGAGCAGTTTGACTTTAGGCAGGTAAAGTCTAGTCCAGTTTCCTCATGGAAACTTATTGTCTTAGCTACTTATCATGAGTAATAGTTAATACACCAAAGAATTAATGCAACCTGTATATAGTTACTAAAATGCAATAGACAATATCTTGGGGCTTTTGTGTTGCTGTGATAGTGTCCATACCTCTAAGCCAGGAGACCTGGGTTCAAGCCTCACCTGCTCTAGAGGTGTATAATAAGATCTCTGAACAGGTTGATTGGGGTGGGAAAACTTACCTAATGTAATAGCCTCTGCTGCTGAGACTTATTTGTAGCTCATCCTCCACCCCTAACTACTAGAAAGCACCAAGACAAGCACTGGAGGAAGGATTGGTGGCAGAACTCTACTGAAGGTACCCAGACCCTTTCATCACTGTTATAACAAGATAGATGCCAGTGCTTTGTAGCATTTTACAGCCTTGGTAACTTGTATTTCCATTTTTAGTGATCTGTGTATCAGTAACCCTCATTCCCTCTGCTCCTGTACCCTCTTTTGTCGCTTACTTTCAAGGAATATTTGCACATCTTATTCTTCCTGCATGTATCACCTCAAACTTATCAGTATTTAAGTTAATTTGACAATAATACTCCCATTCTATTAGTTCATTGATGTCTTCTTGTATTTTGTCACAGCAGGTCTCTGTAATAACGATACTTCCATCTATATTGTTGAAGAATTTTTTGGTTAAGTATTGTTGCAATATGAGAAATGCAGCAACTAATTTGTGTACTATAAGGCCTGCACAAAAAGCTATGAGATGAATGATCACCTAATGTGTTGACAGATAGTGACTGAGACAGGTTTTTGCCCTGGAGAATGGAGAAAGTTCCCTCTCAGGGACAGAGAAAAAGATTTCTGAAAGAAATTTAGCTCCAACAACTACTTAAATACTTGCAAGCAATTTAATACCTGTAAAAGGCTTCCCATCAGTGAGGCCAAACCAGCCATCCCAATACATACTGCACCAAATAACAGACCTAAAAACAAGTTGAGAACAGAACAATGAGTTTGACCGTGAATTAGAACTCTAACCAAGCATAAAAACAACTTGCATTGATATAGTGCCCTTGACCAAGTAAACATCCGAAGGTGTTTCACAAGAGTGTGTTCGAAGAAGCTATATAAAGTGGGATTGGGACAAATGACCAAATTCCTGGTAAAAGAAGTAGCTTTTTAGACACATCATAAATGAGGGGAGAGAAATAAAGAGCTGGGAAAGTTCAGGAAAGGAATTCCAGACAGCTGAAGGTATAGAAATGGGTTGCTATTTCCATCGCATTGCCTTGGCCAATCAAAGTTGCCTTGGCAATCAATCAATCAATTAGCATTCTTTCCTCCTGTGGCATAAATCGTTACGATCATTTGAAATTTGGCATTCTTGTGTTTGTCCTGATGAGCATAAAATGTAAAGCAAGGGAGTATCAAGACCGAACAGTTTGGGCATCAGTGATGGTTCTTGTGTTTCTTTTTATTCACTTTTGAGATTTGGGTGTCACTGGCTAGACGAGCATTTAATGCTTATCCCTAATCGATCTGACAGCAATTAACAGTTGACCACATGGCTGTGGGTCTGGTATCACATGTGGGAAGACCGGGTCAGATGGCAGATTTCCTTCTCTAAAGGGCATTAGTAAGCCAGATGGATCTTTACAAAAATCAACAGTGGTTACATGGTCTCTGTTAAGCAAAATTTAAAAAAATTAATACAAAGTTCACCATCTGTCATGTTGAGATTGGAACTTAAGTATCAAGAACAGGGGTTCTGAACCACTTGTCTCATGAATTTAACCGCTGCTTCCTGCTAATATTCTGAAGCTGAGTACTATGCTTCTCACAAGAGGTTGGGAGAGGATATGAAATAACTACACTGGGGCCGGTATCCCATCACCAAGTCACCCTTTATTTACTTGTGCATAGTACACTGACTGTGGCCAGCCAGCTCAGAGTTAGTCCCCTGAACTGAGGAGATTCTAAATTCCCTGGTTATAATGGTCAGCCAAGGCTTTCCTGATTGGGGTTGTTAACCTGGGCCAATCAAGGATCTCGTAGTCAACATGATCCACTTGGTTCCAATCACTACAGGATATATCCTGAGTGAGACATAATCAGAATGAGCGTGTATTTCTGGGAATTTGAGGCACAGTGAGAATTTGGTACAGTGGGGCACAGGTGATTTTTGCTTTTTGTTTTTTTTGTGGTTTATCGTTGAAAGGACTATATTCTGTACTAATGATGACCAGGAAATAGGGCCCTAGAGTAATTCATAATATTTAAGCATCTTCCAAATAGTTTAGTTTAAAGGAACAAGTCATGGCAAGAGAGCTCAAAGCCACGGTTTGCTCTTCCTGTTTTACATGGGAAGTTGGGAACATTTTTAGTACCCAGGGACAGCTTATGTACAGGAAGTGTCTCCAGCTGAAGTTCCTGGAAGCCCGGGTTTCAGAGCTGGAGCAGAGGTTTGGAAGCATTTGTGAGGCAGGTAGTATTGTGGATAGCATGTGTAGAGAGTTGGTCACATCAGAGGCTAAGACTCCACAGGCAGGAAGGTAATGGGTGACCACCAGGCACAGCGAGAGGATTAGGCAGGCAGTCTCCTGTGGCTATTCCCAGTAAAACAGATATCTCGCTGTGGATACTGTTGTTGGGAATGGCCTCTCAAGGGAGAGCAGCAACAGCCAAATTCATTGCATGATGGTTGGGTCTGCTGCACAGGGGAGGAGTAAAACATGTGGGAATAGTTATAGGGATTCAATTGTATGCTGTGGCTGCACACCAGGATGTTGCCTCCCTGGTGCCAAGGCCAAGGCAAAGGATGTCTCAGAGTGACTCCAGAACTTTTGGAAGAAAAAGAGATAGAGAGACTTTTCTTGTGTTATGATGTTTTTACTGCATTCTGGCTTAGTAGATTTTGTTTTCATTTAACATGGTGGTCTTCCATTGAAACGTAAGCACAAAATGCGGTACAAAAACAAAGTTGCTGGAAAAGCTCAGCAAGTCTGGCAGCATCTGTGAAGGAAAAAGCAGAGTTAACGTTTCGGGTCCAGTGACCCTTCCTCAGAACTCAGAACAAAATGCTGTAGGTTTGGCTTTAAGAACAAAGCCAAGGTTTAATATACAAAAGTGAGGGTAAAATAGAACAAACCAAGCTATTTACATATAATACAATTTGAAAGATTTCAAAACACATGACACAAGAGATTATCATCTATCCTAAAACCGTCACTTTACAGTTCTTAAATACCAGAATTCCCTTCTCAATCATCTGTAAGTTTGCCTTAAATGTTTCTTTCATCTTGAGAGTTTGATAGCCTTTTGCTTGATTATTCACACTACTGATCTCAAACTTTTCTACCTTCAAGTTATCCCTGAAAGGTTCTAACCACACACTTCTGGTCTGGAATTTTTAAACTTAAACTGAGTTTGTCTGTTTCCTCATTACTCTGATCTAACTCCTTTCTCCATGAGAAACCATTGTTATATTAGACTCTAGTCTTCTGTCTTCTGCAAACCAAAACAAAAGCCTTCCAATTTTTAGGCTTTTTCTTCATTCTCTTATACCAAAAACAAGCTAATACCTTTCAATTTTTCCTCTCCCTGATTGTAAAACTCTCACAACTCAAAGAAACTCACTTGATCATTCAAGGTGGGCCCAGTCATCTGCTCTCTTGACACATTTGGTTTAAAATCATGGCTCCAGAAAGACCGGCAAGTTAATTTTTAAGCCCTCTCATATATACAGGGCTAAACTTACATGCCACCAGTTCAAAATTCAATTTCTGAAATAAATGATATTAATATATAAGAATTATACTCCTGATCAACACATTATGAATATTCTGAAGAATTACTGGACACAAAATGTTAACTCTGTTTTTTCTCCACAAATGCTACCAGACCTGCCGAGTTTTGCCAGCAATTTCTGTTTTTGTTTGTTACATTATGAATGTAATTGTTTTCTGTCATTGTGTTTAATCCACAAATAAAACCAGTTGTGGTCAGCAGGCAGTTTGATTCCACCACTGCTTGTCAGAGGAGACATGATTTAAACATTGATCCATGCATTTTCTGTGGGTAAGACATATAAATTCACACCACAATTTTGCAGGAAGTATAACTCTTTCTCAGTAACATTTTTTTAAGAACATAAGGAACAATAGTTATCCATTGGCCCCTCAAACCTGTCCACCATTCAATAAGATTCTGGTAGATCACCTACATCAATGTCACATTGTTGTTCTCTCCCTGAATCCCTTAATTCTTAATCTCCAAAACTCTATCGACCTCAGTCTTGAATATACTCAACAACTGATCATCTACAGCTCTGGGTGAGAATTCCAAAGGTCCATAATATTTTGTGTGAAGAATTTGCTCCTCATCTCAATGCCAAATGGCCAACTCCTTATCCTGAAACTGCATCCACCTGTTCCAGATTCTCTTAGCTGGGGAAAACATTTTCTCAGCATTGACTTCCCTCAAGAATGTTTTCTTCTCCTGATTAGGTCATCTCTTCTTTTGAACTTCATAAATTCCATATACCTAGGCCTCAATCAAATTCAGTGTGACTGAGCCAAAGCACTGAGTTCTTGCACAACAGAATGGCAAGTTACCAAATGAAGAAGACAGTCCACTCACTCATAGCCCCAGAAATCCAAGCGAGCTTTTTCTCAGAAAGAGTTGTGAAATAAGGCTTGATGAGATCTTCTACTGTCACAGCAGCAAGTGCATTAATGCTGGATGACACTGTGCTGCAATGGGAGAAGTTAAAAGGCACCATTGTTATAAGGTTTTCACTGTCAGTCCTTCACTAAGCAAGGTTTTTTTATTAGCACATTATGCTAAGTATAAAGTAAAATAACATATCAGTCAACACAAACCAAGAGTTTAATTTGGGTTCAAATTAGTTTTCCAGCACCAGTTCAAAATCATCTAATTTGATAGTTTGATTTAATTTGATTTGGTGTCAGATGCTCTGTTCTACTGTCCTAACATACCTTAATGTCCCACTATATGCACATGCCACAAAGAGACCTGGCAGCCCTGGGTAGCCTCCCAGAATGTCCAGCACCATGTAGGGCATTAACTAAATAACACAATCAAGAAATGGGCACATACTGATTATTCAGGTAACTATACAAGTGTAGAATATAGCTAGCATACAAGTACCTATGGAGGCAATATTCTGCAGAAACTATTGAGCTCTGAACAAAATGCTGCACGTAAAAACAACTTCCAAAAAACAGGACCCCGCCTGTTCTCGGGAGCATGTAAAAGCTCCCGTAGCTATTATTTTGAAGAAGACCGATAGCGTTCCCTCTTATCTCCTCGGTCAATATTTATTCCTCAATCAACCATATTGAACCACATTGATAAAAAGAGAAAATGGTGGAGAAACTCAACAGGTTAGGCAGCATCTGAGGACAGAGAAACAGAGTTAACATTTCAAATCCGTTAGGACTCTTCTTCAGAAGTGTCTTCTTTTGCTCTGAAGAAGTCATATTGGACTCAAACAATTAACTCTGTTTCTCTCTCTACAGATGCCACCAGACCCACTGAATTTCTCCAGCATTTTCTCTTTCTTTTTCAGATTTCCAGCAGCTGCAGCCAATGAAGTGTGATGTAATGAAATGTAGTCATTTTTGTAGTGTCGCAAATGCGGCAGCCTATTTGCACATAGCAAGCTCTCACAAAGAGAAATGATCAGGAACTGCTGATATAAAATATCTATTTATCTTTCACTTGGACAATCCTGGCATTCAAGTGACACAAAAATAATGGAAATCTTGACTAATGAGAGCCATTGGTATAAATGACAGAATGACCTGTATTCATGATATTGGTCAAAGGATAAATATGTCAGAATATCAGGGCAATACCGAACCCTGCTTTGCTTGAAAGAGAATCTTTTACGTTCAAATGTAAGAGCAGAGGGGCATTGGTTTAACTTTGTATCTAAAAACCAGTATCTATGGACAATGTGGAACTAGCTCCCTGAAACATCAGTAGGGTATGGAATGTCGACTTTCTTACTTAGAAGTGTAAATGTTATCCTGCTGGGTGCTGCAGTTTTGTGTATTGTCCCTCACACACTTAAATAAAGAACAGCCAGTAAGTTGTGCACCTGATCTGGAGCTTTCACCTTCCCAGATGTCCATGGATCACAATCGTGATAGAGAGAGTACATTGCCAATCCTGACAGGACTGTGCACGCAAGGATAATCCACAGTCCAACCAGGTTCAGGTAGAGTGCACTGAAACAGAGCAAAATGTTATTTTAAATACAATAGGCAGAAAGATCCAATTTTTTTTTGAAATTCGCTCACCATAATTGGCTAAAATAGGAGCTGGTGAATGGTTTGAAGTAACAGAAATGGGGAGGAATTTCTTCACTTAGTGGGTGGTCAGTCTTTCGAATTCTCTATTCCAGAGACTGTGGAAGCTCTGAGCATCGAACAAATTCAAGACAGACCTTGATGGGTTTCTGGAAACTAACAATATTAAGGGATATGGAGATAGTGCAGGGAAGTGGGTTTGAGGGGATGAACCCCCATGATCTAGAACAGTGGGGCAGGCGTGAAGGGTCGAATGGCCTACTCCTGTGACACGGGATCCCCTGCATCCACCTAAGAGAACAAATGTGTCCTCCCTGTAAGACAGAATCTGAGATAAAAGGGTTTTTAAAAATACTTTTAATTGATTTGTGCATCTATGGCAAGGCCAGCATTTGTTGCCCATTCCTGATTGCCCTTAAGTTTAGTGCCTTGTTCAGCCACTTCAGAGGGCAGGTAACAGTGAACTACATGACTGAAAGCATGTGTAGACCAGACAAGATAAGCTCAATAGATTCCTTTCCTTAAAGGACAATCGGAAAATAGTTGTATTATTTTAAACAACAATCAAAGGTAGTTTCTTGGTCATTATTCAATTCCAGATTAAGACATTGAATTTAAATTCCAATTTGCCATTTGAATCATTCTCCCCAGAGCAATAGCCTGGGCCTCTGGATTACCAGCAACATTATCACTAGGCCACTAAAAGAAGGTTAAAATCACAAATAGTTTGGAGTTTTGAGAAGAAAAAGGATGCACATTGGTTACAAAAACAAAGTTGCTGGAAAAGCTCAGCAGGTCTGGCAGCATCTGTGGATGAGAAAACAGAGTTAACGTTTCGGGTCCGGTGACCCTTCCTCAGAACTGGTTTACAACAGCATCCTTACAGCATCCGCAGTTCTTTTGGTTTTTATGCATATTGGTTAGTTTAATTGGCTAGAGTGCACTGCAGAACCCATAGGTGTAGTTTCAATCAGCTATGGTAGTTTTGCTGCTTTGCCTACACAAAGCTTGATGTAAAGTGGTGCCCATCAGACTGTGTGACCCTTGTTATGATCCCACCTGATGTTATTATGGGACAAGTCAGATCCCAGGCTGAAACCTAGCTCGATTTTTTTTTTTTTGTTATGTGCAATTTTAACAAGGTAATATTTCACTGAAACATTAGCATGCAATGTTGCAAATTTGGTTTTTACAGAATCTGAAGGTGACTATGCAAAAGAAAGAGAGATAGAATAAAATAAATTAAACTATTTACATACAGTACACATTTGAAGATTCTGAAACAGATGGTAAATATATTTAACCCAATTAATCCCCAAAAGCCCTTTACATTACTCACACCGAACAGAATACCTTTCTTTATCACTCCTATAGGGCCTAATTTAACTCTGGCTCCCACTCCCCATTTTGTGAATCTATCACTTCTTCCTGCAACCTTCACATAACTGAGCTTAAACTTTCTCAGGTTCAAATACCCCTTCAGAGCGTTTAACTAAACACTTCTCATCTGAGCTATTACTAAACTTCTTACTCTGAGGTAATCCATTTTTTAAACAATGATAAGCTATCTTTGCCCTTTCTTAGAAGCAACTGTTTAACACTTTTAGCTTCAACTAAGAACCATGTGGAATTGCCCGAACAGAAACTAAATCTGAAAATTTTATCTCCAACCTATAAGTATTCCCCACTAAGATTTAAAACAATCCAGAATATGCCACCAGAAAGCCTGATATACTATCTTATGTACTTTCTTTGCTCATTAGCTCTCCCAATAAAACATAAACCCATTTGTTCTTGGAGGCTATCTCTCTCAAACAGTTTTAAGAGAAATGACCATGGTTACAGAAATATTTACAAGCTAATCATTAAATCATTTCAGACACACAAAATACCCCATACGCAGCAGTTCAAATTCAAAAATCCAAATTTAAGAATAAATGACATCAAAATAGATATAAATCATATGCCTTATATCACACTCTCTCTATTAGAGAGTGGTGCCTGCAGCACTTTGTAAACTATGGCTAGACACCCACTCATATGAAACAGATTAGCCAGGTAATGCCATAATACCATAAGATGTGGGAGCAGAAATGGACCATTCAGCCTAGCAAGCCCACTCAATAATTATGGAGGATTTAATAATCCTCAACTCCATTTCCTCACTTTATCCTCATAAACCTTGATTTCCTTGATGATCAGAAACCTGTCTACCTCAGCCTTGAATGTATTTCACAACATAGCCTTAACAGCTCTCCATGGTAAAGAATTCAGCAGATTTATGACCCTCCGACTCATTCCTACTCATCTCCATTTTGAATAATCAACTCCCTACTCTTAATCTAGACTATCTGATAAGGAAAACCAACCTCTATGCATTTAACCTGTCAAGTCCACAAAGAATTTTATGGTCTCCTCTCATTCCTCTAAACTCCAATGAGTACAAACCTAATCACTCAACTTTTCTTCACACAAAAATCTCTCCACATCCAGGATCAGCCGTGAACTTTCTCTCAACTGCCTCCAATACCTTTCCTTCGATAAGGGGCCTAAAACTGTTCACAGTATTTCCAGCTGTGGTCGGATTAGTGCCTTGCATAGTTTAGCTAGGCCTCCCTATTTTTATACTTCATTCCTTTTGAAATAAAGGCTATCATTCCATTTGCCTTCCCTATTACTCAGTGAACTTGGATGGTAGCTTTTTGTGATTCATGCACAAGGATCCCAAAACCCTCTGTGTGGCAGCTTTCTGCAATTTTTCTCTATTTAAATAATATTCAACTCTTCCATTCTTCCTACCAAACTGCATTATTTCATATGTCCCCACATTATATTCTATCTCTCAAGGCTTCTTTTCGCATTCACTTAACCTTTCTATATCCTTATGCAGACTACTTGTGTCATCCTCACTATTTGCCTTCCCACCTATTTCTAGCATCATCTGTTAATCTGGCTAAAATACTAGCTCCAACAGCACGAGCTCTTGACTTATTAACTACTCTTCTGTGTCGTACCTTATTGAATGCCTTTTAGAAATCCAAATATATCACAGCTATTGGTTCTCTTTTATCTACTCTGCTTGTTACTTCCTCAAAGAGCTGTGATAAATTTGTCAGGCATGATTTCACCTTCATGAAGTCATGCTGACTCTGCTTGATTATATTATAAAGTATTTCTAAATGCTCTGTTCTTACTTTATAGTAGACTCTAACATTTTCCCAATTACAGATGTTAAGATAACTGGCCTAAACTCTTTTCATTTCCCTCCATTTTTGAATAAGAGAGTTATAATGGCAGTTTTCTAATCCTCTAGGACTTTTCACATCAAGGGATTCTTAGAAGATTATCAGTGCATCCACTATCTCCATAGCTACTTCTTTTAGAATGCTAGGATACATCCCATCAGGTCCAGCGGGCATATAGGTCTTGAGCTCCATTAGTTTCCCTAGAATTTTTTCTCTAGTGATAGTTGTGGTATTTATTTCCTCCCTTTGTCTTTACCCCCAGATTGTTCAGTACTTTTGGAGTGCTATTAGTATCCTCTAATGTGAAGACCGGCGCGAAGGATTTGTTTAACTCTTCTGCTATTTCCTGGTTCCCCATCATTATTTACCCAGCCTAGTTCTCAAAAGGACGTATGTTCACTGTTGCTTCTCTCTTTCTTTTCATATATTTAAAGAAGTTCTTATATCTGTTTTTATGTTACTTCACCTTCATAGTTTATTCACTCCATTGTTTTTAATTGTTGATTTTTTTTATGGGTCAGTCCTCTGATTTACCATTAATCTTTGCCACATAGTAGGTTTTTCTTTCAATTACTGTCCTTAACTTTTCTAGGATAACGATGGACCTTGAACTCTTCTCCTTCACTGGGATATATTTTTGCTGTGAGCGTTGAACTGCTTTTAACTGTCTGCCATTGTTCATTGACCATCCTTTTTGCTAATAAAAGCAAAATACCATGGATGCTGGAATCTGAAACAAACACAGAGAATGTTGGAGAAACTCAGCCGGTCTGTTAGGTTCAGTGCAGAGAGAAACAGACGTAATGTTTAGAATCCAGTACAAATCTTCTCATAAGAGATCCTTTCTCCTCCGCAGGTTGAAACTTTGTGACGTGGACAATGTCTAATAATATAAAATCCTAACCTGCTAATGTAGGAATGAATACCACTGCTTAGATTTCAAGTTCCTGTTCCTCCCAACATCTTATGCAATCAACTGAGAAATTATTTATTAGCACAATTTCAATAACAAAACATCACTATAGCACCTATATATAGCACTTTTAATATAATAAAAATATCTTCTGAAGGTGATACACTGAAGGGCACTGAGACAAATTTTGAAGCTGAGCTGCATAACATATTCAGACAGTTGACCAGATGATTGATCGAAGTGATAAGACATAAAGGAAGGGAGAGATAGAGAGAGTTACACAGGAATTTCAGAGTTTAGGGCCTAAGGAATGAATTGGCTTCAATTGTGCAGCAATTAAAGTTGTGGATGCTCAGAAGATTGTGCAGATATCTCATTGGTCTGTTTGGCTGCCAGACGTTGGAGTGGCAGTGAGAGGGATTTGAAAACAAGGGAGGGAATTTAAAAATTGAACCTTTGCTGGATTTCTGCTAATTGCAGGATTAAGATTATAAACTGATACTCACGCTTTGGCTTGAGTTCTTGTCTTACAAGAGATGTATCTCTGAACCTGGGCCTGATTCACTCCGTAGATCCCTGTCCATGTGAAGGTCCCTCCTATTACAATCGTCCAAAAGGTATGTCGGTGGAACGGGTTGGGGTCGAAACTGAACACAGAAGTTGGACATCAAATTATAAAGCACATTGTTAATAGATCCCATCACTTAAAAGTACATACCCTTGTAAAACTTACTTCCAGAAGTTTAGTCTGCCCCCGTGATCAGCAGTATTCAGTACATTACTGATGCTCCCTTTCAGTATTATTGCTTGAACAATGATTGCCACAAGCCCAATTATCATGATGACGATCTGAAACACATCTGTCCACACAACAGCTTTGAGACCTCCCTAAAGCAAAGAGAAGGAAGAGTTTCAACTCTAAGTATTAAGTGACTGCCTTGGCTCGGTGGGTAATCACTTGTCTAGAAGTCAGAAGCTTACTGGTTCAAGTCTCGCTGCAGGAATTTAAGTGTGTTATTTAATTTAATTGCCAGCTGACTTATAACTGAGACACTGCTGTACTGTTAGAGGTGCTTTTGTTTTAGCTGATATGTTAAAGAAAGGTCCTGCCTTCACCTCTCATTCAATTAGAAAAGATCCCACTGCACAAGAACAGCAAGGAAGGTGTCCTGGCCAATATCTATCCTTTATTCACACCATGGAAGTGCAGGGAATTTGTCATCACCAACAACAGAGAAATTATCTATTGCCCCTTGACATTCAATGTATTATCATCACTGAATCGTCTATTATCAACATCTTGGAAATTACCATTGACTAGAAACTGAATTAGACTACTCACAGAAATATTGTGGGGACATCAACAGGTCAAAGGCTAGGAATTTTGCAGCAAGTAATTCACCTCAATTTCCCCAAAGCCTGTTCACCATCTACTAGGCACAAGATTAGTGTAAGATGGAATATTCCCCACTTGGCCGGATGATTGCAGTTCCAGTTACATTCAGGAAGACTGAATGCCATCCAGGACAAAGCATCCCACTAGATTAACACTGCATCCACAAATATTCATTCTTACTACTGCTGACTCCTCGGAGCAGCGGTTTTATCATCTACAAGATGCACAGCAGAACTTCACTAAGGCCGCTTGGACAGTATAAGAGTAATGAAGATTTTCTTCAGTTGCATAGGGAGCTTGATTGCACCACGCCTGGAGTGCTATGTGCAGTTTTGGTCTCTGAAAAAGGTTCATTAAATTTTTTTTTTTCCAGGATGACAGAACTGTCCAATGAAGACAAGTTGGGAAGACTGGGCCTTTATTCTCTAGAGTCTCAAAGAATGAGAGATGATCTCATTCAAACTAACTGAATATTTAATAGGATTGATGGGGTACATATAGTTATTTCCTTTACCCTAGTTGGGGAGTCTAAAACCAGGGGCATAATTTAAAAATAAGGGAGATGTTATTTAGATCCAAGATAAGGAGAAAGCTTTTTACTCAAGGTGTTGTGACTTTACCCCAGAGGACTGTGGAAGCTCAGCCTTTGAGTATGTTTAATGTCGAAGTTGATAAAATTTTGATTATCAACGGCGTGATGGGTTATGGTGATATTGTGGATAAAAGGCTTTGAAGTGTCTGGATCAGCCGTGATTGTATTAAATGTTGGAACAGGCTCTTAGGGCTGAATGGCCTACTCCTGTTCCTATCTACTTATGGCAGGGCCTTCCAAACAGATGGCCACTACCATCTAGAGGACAAGAGCAGCAGGTACATGGCAACACCATCATCTGCAAGATCCCCCAAGTCACTCATCACCTTGACTTGGAAATATATCACCATCCCTTCACTGTCGCTGGGTAAGAGTCCTGGATGAGAGTTGTGAGTCTACCTAAAGCACGTGGACTGCAGTGGTTCAAGAAGGCAACCTCTCTAGGGCAACTAGGGATGGGCAATAAATGTTGGTGCAGCCAGCAATGCCCACATCCCATGAATTGATTTTAAAAAGTCATTATCTCAACGCAATTACTGGAGTCTGTTTGCAACTGTGATTTAAAAATATTTCATTCGCTGGAAAATGCTTTGAGAAATGGACAGATTTTTAATCAAAAAAAAATTAAAGGTTGTAGGGGAAAGGAAGGAAAGTACGGTTGAGGACAATCAGATCAGTCATGATTTCATTGAATGATGGAGCAGACTCACTAGGTTGAATGGCCAATTCTGTTCCTTCATCTTATGGTCTTATCAACCAGGCTGTGCTGATAGTTGATAGTGAGGACTAAATCAGTCTTTTTGCCTCCACTGTTTTTTCCTCTAGAAACAGCTGAATACCAATTTGCTGCTCATTCCCAGACCCTTCCATAATCCTCTTTCCCAAGCCTCCATCCAGATTGCTTTAAAACCAATTGATAGACTCTGCTTCTTCAAAGGTTTATGCCTGTGGATTCCACATCCAAACCTATTCTACGTAAAGACATGTTTTCTTTAATAGTCCCTTCAACTCCTTTTGCGATTAACCTCAAATGTATGCTCTTTCACTAATAGTTTCACTGGCTCAATTATCTTAACTTACCAGGGTGCAGTAGAAAGTGCAGACTACTCCGGTCGAAATAATAGAACCCCAGAGGTTGAAATTTGTCACTAAAAGCAAGGAAATAAATATGTCTGAATCGTCAGGACAGAAAGTCTTTGTTATTATTGCTGAACTGACGAATGATGAGGCAGAAAAGTAATACTGACCTTGATTTAATGCCAATGCTGGAGCATAAATAACAATCCCTGTGTATAAAATCTGAAATAAATGATACATAACTCAGACAACTAAGGACCAATTAAGTATTGATTTCAGAAAATAATGTCATTTTTTAAAATAGTGAAAAGGGAGGAGATCAAGAATAAGAGAAAGAGTGAAATGAAAAGAAATGGAGAGTGTCAGAAAGAGAGGACAGAATGAGAGATAGAAAATGTGTATGTGTGAGAGAGAGAGAGAGAAGCATTCTCAGGCCTGCTATGAGACACATTTCGAAATTTTAATTACATTGATTTGGGAAAGGTTTGGGAGCTGATTTGCCACATGCAACATTAACATAAAACAGGAATAAAAACCGTGAGAACTGCAGATGCTGTAAATCAGAAACAAAAACAGAAATTGCTGGAAAAGCTCAGCAGGTCTGGCAGCATGTGTGGAGAGAAATCAGAGGTAACGTTTTTGGTCAAGTGTCCCTTCCTCAGAACAGGAAGCGTCACTTGACCCAAAACTTTAACTCTGATTTCTCTCCACACATGCTGCCAGACCTGCTGAGCTTTTCCAACAATTTCTCTTTTTGTTTAACATAAAACATATTCAGCAAAGTTTAATCTTATTCCACCGTGTTCACGGTTGCAGAATCTTGCTTAACAAATGCAACAGCCGCGAAACATATGACAACTTACAAAATTCAGTGCATTGATAAGATGCAAATAAAGGAAGCTGCTTCAAGATATGTGAAATGCAATTTGTTTTGATTCGAAGAGATGATACGATGATAAGCATTGCTGGGGTAATGTGCAGCGTCACAGACGAGTAGGACATGTTGGTGTTAGCAACTTCCAACAAGAGGATGGCCTGGCAATCATTGAGAAGCAAAGAGTTCCAAAACATGAACTGAACATAAACATGAAATGCAACATTTTACTGGGAATTATTGAATGGTCACAGCACAGAAAGAGAGCATTCAGCCTGTCTGGCTTGTGATACACAAAGTTTAGAGTGGGACTAATGAGAGATCTCATTCAAAAGACATGAACACAATGGACCAAATGGTTTCCTTATATGTTGAAGGATTCTATGATTCTAAGATGGAATCAAGAATCATTGAGGGGAATACCCTCAAGGCATCAAATTACATCTGCTAGTAGCTGGATACAGAATGGGACTGGATAAGCCACATAACAAACCCTTTCATTGAAGAACAGTGCAACGCAAAGGTCAGAAAGAGGGACTCACATTGAAAAATAATTCATAGCCAATAGAAGCTTTAAAAGCCAATAGAAGCCATAAAAACTGGAAAGACAGTTTGTCATTACGGTAATGGCCCACTGCCAGTGAAGGTGATTTAATTATATATTAATGTTACTGATCGTTTACTGTGTGATCTGTCACTCAGGACAAATGTTTCTTCATTATTTTTATGGTGATAATATAATATGATTGTAAAAATAAACTGGATATTAGAAGCGATACATTTTAACTGTGTACTTACTGTTTGAGTCATAAACAATATTGTTCCACATAGACGGATCCATCTGTTAAACCGCAGCTCCAGGTACTGAAATCAGACAGCCAGGGGTGAGGTCTTGGTGTAAATCTCATTTCAAACACTGCCCCTCCCCACCAACAGAAGGCCACCTACCCCAGAGGAGCAGCATGCCAAACTTACATAGCATTATTATGTTCCACTGCCCTAAGGCTAGCATGATTCTCATATCAAAGCTCATATCATTGCTTGACTCTGGGCATTAATGGCCATAGTAAGTGACCTTGAAATTATTTCTTAAGAGGTTTCCTTGTGGGCCACGTTGTATAGATAATGGTTCTGAAAGATTTAATGTTGATCTAGTTCCCAAATGGGTCAGATGTACCATCTCAGGCTCCTGATATTCTTTGTTATTATGTCCCTACTAGTGTCCAGGGACGTGCAGGCAAGGTGGATTAGCCATGGTAAATGCAGGGTTATAGAGTACACGGTGTGGGTCTGGGTGAGATGCTCTTCGGAGGGTCGATGTGGACTTGATGGGCTGAATGGCCTGCTTCAACGCTGTAGAGATTCTTTGATCTAGCCATTGTGACTTGCACCTGTTGCTAACAGGCAATAAACTAAAAAATAGCTAAACTAAATAAGTCAACTAAAATAAACTAAAGTGGAGTTGCAGGTACAAATTACGAAGAACAAGACAGCATAGGAACAGGCTCTTTAGCTCTCCAAGCCTGCACCAACACATTTTGCTCTTCCATACTAAAACTGTTTTCAGTTACAGGATACATATCCCTCTATTCCCTTTGTATTTATGTATTTGTCCAGGTGCTTCTCGATTGCTGCTATTGTGTCTGCTTCCACCATCTCCTCTGGCAACGCGCTCCAGGCACTCACCACCCTTTGTTTGAAAAACTTGCCTCACACATCTCTTTTAAACTTACCCCCTTGACACCTTGAACCTGTGTCCCTTAGTAATTTACCCCTCCACCCTGGGAAAATGTCTCATACTTTTCTCTCTATCCATGCCATTCACAATCTCATAAACTTCTATCAGGTCACCCCTCAACCTCCTGCATTCCAGTGAAAACAAACCCAGTTTATCCAACCTTTCTTCATAGCTAAAATCTTCCATACCAGGCAACATCCTGGTAACCTTTTCTGTACCCACACCAAAGCATCCACATCCTTCTGGTAGTGTGGTGAACAGAACTGTGTGTAATATTCCAAGTGTGGCCTATCTAAAGTTCTTTAAAGCTGCAGCGTAACTTGTCTATCCTTATACTGAATACCCCTTCCAATGAAGGCAAGCATACCCCGGGCCTTTTTTACTGCCTTATATATCTGCACTGCCACCTTCAGTGATCTGTGGACCTGCACACCCAGATCCCTCTGCATTTCAATATTGCTAAGGGTTATGCCATTCACTATATAATTTCCACCTGCTCTTGACCTTCCAAAGTGCATCACCTCACACTTGTCCGGATTAAACTCCATCTGCCATTTTTCTGCCCATACCTCCAACTGACCTATATCCAGCTGTATCCCTGACAATCCTCCTCATTATCCACAACTCCACTAATCTTTGTATTGTCTGCAAACTTACTAATTACATCAGCTATGCTTTCCTCCAAATCATTTATGTAGATCTTGAACAGTAGAGGTTCCAGCACTGATCCCTGCACAGGGTGGTGAAGAAGGCATTTGGTGCGCTTGCCTTTATTGGTCAGTACATCAGGTATGGGAGTTGGGAGGTCATGCTGAGCTGCCATTGGTTACCATTGGTGGAGGCTGATACAATCACAATGTTTAAAAGGCATCTGGATGGTATACAAATCGGAAAACTTTAGAAGGATATTGGCCAAATGCTGGCAAATGGGACAAGATTAATTTAGGACATGTGGCTGGCACAGACAAGTTGGACCGAAGGTTCTGCTTCAGTGCTGTACCTCTCTATGACTCTTCTGTTTAAAAAAAACACAACGTCTTTCTTTTTTTTCCTCTTGGCTTGCTGCAACATCCTCTGAATTAGATTTAAATTCTGGGGAAATCTTAGAGAGTTGGTAATCCTTGGGAACCCTGGGTGCAGCAAAACCATGTTTTGGGCAGTGAGCTGACGTGCAGAATGCCTCAGGAGCTCAAATATCTTAAGCCTGCAATATCTGACACTAATAGGGTTTGACATTGTCCCACAACATCTCCAAAATCCCCATCTGAAACCCCTATGTAACTCCTTCTGACCATAAAATTTTACCTTCAAGCCTCACTGCAAATTAAGCTGGCATTCCCCAATGCTACAACTGAGCGAGTGCTTCACTGTCTGAAATGTAGCTTATATAAGGCATCAACTCAGGGCCCCAGGTAACTTCTCAGCTGGATACCGAGAAGACCATTGCTTTCCTGGAGGAAAGACAGAGGGGTTTCCATGGACTTCAGCAATGTCTATCTTCAATCAACAGCAACGCTGATGTGAAATATTGACCACTGGTGTGAAACACTGGGAACTGATATGAAGTACTGAGCATTGGCTGCCTATGTAACTGTGACTACGTTCCACAGTAAATGATGTACAAATTTATAAAACATTGGTTAGGCCACAGATGGAATACTGTACGCAGTTATGGCTATCATACTATCAGAAGGATGTGATTACACAGGAGAGCATACAGAGAAGATTCAGCAGGGTGTGGCCTGGGATGAAAGGTTTCAGTTATGAGGAGAGATGGGATAGGCTGGTTTGTTTTCCTTGGAGCAGAGGAGGCCGAGAGGGGATCTGATTGAGGTGTACAAAACTATGAGAAGTATAGACAGAGTAGATTGTAAGAATCTTTTCCTTGTGGCAGATGTGTCCAAGACCAGACAGCATAAGTGTAAGGTGAGAAAGTGGTTTAGAGGAGATCTGAGGAAGAAGTTCTTCTACCAGAGGATGGTAGAAATATGGAACCTGCTGCCTAACACGCTGGTGGAGGCAGGTACTCTCACAACATTTAAGATGCATCTGGACAAGCACTTAAAATGCCTGTGCAGAATAGGCCATGGACCAGGAACAGATAAATGGGATTAGTATAGTTTAGAGTTTATTGGGTTGTCATTGATACAGTGGGCTGAAGGGCCTGTTTCTATGCTGTATAAGTCTATGCTTCAGATAAGGGTCATACAGGACTTGAAATATTAATTCTGTTTCTATCTCCACAGACTCTACCAGACATACTGAGTTGCTCTGTGTTTGTTTCTTAATAACCTATATTGGTTGGCTCCCACATTTCTTACATAGATTACATTGGTTGAGATATTAGTTTGGAGAGCTTGGATAACCTAGGGAAGTACCATCAGCACTGCCTTTGAAAGATTCTTGTAATCTGGAGGTATGGAAGGTGATCTGACAGCAATGTCCTCTCCCCAGCCAACATGCCCACATTGAAGTGCTAATCGCTTAAATTCAACTTGGGTGGGGCATTGTTTGTGCCAACCACACACCCAGAGACCTGAAACAATTGCTCTACTCAGAACTTTGTCACGATGGAAATGCTAGAGGGATGTCCTCCACACCCATCAACTCGCAGGAGACCCTGACTTGTGACCAACAAAAATGGAGAAGGCTCAGTCCAGAAGGCACTGACCATATTGACCGTTTCTGAAGAAGGGTCTAGACCTGAAATGTCAGCTTTCCCGCTCCTCTGATGCTGCTTGGCCTGCTGTGTTCATCCAGCTCTACACCTTGTTATCTCAGATTCTCCAGCATTGGCAGTTCCTACTATCTCTGAACATATTGGGAGGCTTTGTTAGGAATGTGCAGAGGTGAAGTTGAGGCATCGGAGAGAACCTACACACCTCCAAACCACCCACTTACTTAAATCTTCAAATACAAGCTGCCTCACACAAGGTACAGCCTGCAGACCACACATTGGTCCTCTCATCCATCTTGAAATGCACTAAATCAGAGATGAAGCAAGTCATCCTCACTCAGTCGTCCAGCAACTGATTAAGAAAGAGAAGTCTGGAAATATATACCCCACCGGGACAGTAAAGCAAAACATCTATGGAATCCTTTACCAGAGCTGATCAACTACCACATATTCACAATGATTATAACTACTCAAAGGCCATTGGCAATCCTGTGTTATCTTTCCCTTCACCTGGACACTCACCTCATAGCTGCTGGTAACACCGAGCCTGTAGAAGATTGGCAGGAAGACCTCGGCACTGAGAATCACCACAAACATGTAAGAAATGGCAAAGTAGATGTTGACAGCCCCAAAGTGATATGTATCGTAGGAGGCCCCCAGCAATGTCACTGCAGACATGAAGCTGGCAGTGAGGCTGAGAGCCACTGGCATGGAGCTCATTTGCCGGCTTCCCAGAAGGAAATCTTCAGGTGACTCCCGTCCTCTTCCCATCACCGCATGATAGATTCCCACCACAGCCGAGATCAACAAGATTGCAGCAAAAACTACATAGTCCCAGGCACTGAAATTGCCAGAAGTTACAGGTGCTGCCATTCTTCAGAACTCCTTCCCTTAGCTCAGGGCTTCTCTGCAGTTTGTTACAAGTTTCCCATGCAGCAGGAAGCACAAACATTAAAGGGTGCCAACCTCTGATCCTGTTACTGAGTTAATGTCAAACCAATTTTGACATACTTCCCAGTTACTCACCTCTTGGGATGAGTTCATAAAAATCTCGAACAAATGATCCATTAAAGATTGCGGTTAATCTGGAAACATAGTGTTTCAATCTACATATAGGAACTCATTAAGCAAAAATACATAATTTGGAGGATAGCCAGCCTTTAGAAAGAGGGAGAAACATGAAGAAATAGGGAAAGAGAAAAAAAGTGAAAAGGTGAGAATGAATGACAGTAATACAGAAGTGAAGGAAAAGCAAAGGAAAATGAAAGATAGAAAGAAAGGAGGACAGGCAGAAAAGGAAGGAAGTTATACAGAAAATGATCAATAGGCTCTTAATTGCCTCTGGGATCTTAATCAATTGGTCATTATTCCTAGGTGAAACTTGCACATTCACAAATCAGTGACCAGGAATAGTGAGTATGACCTCATAGTTCTAACTTAATCTGTAGATCTGGAAATTCAGCCAGCTCACAGGCTGAGCACAGGCCATGGTTTAGAATCTAGGACCTCCCTGTCTATCTGATTCAGGTATTCACTGACCCATTTAAGCTTCTCCAGAATAACACGGAAATCTGCAGTAATGTTTGACTGAAATTCTGCTGTTTTAATAATTCTCTTATTTGGCTGAAGCAACTTTCCATTCTGACATTCCCATGCTCCCTTTTGGCCCTGACCTTCAATGATGCACAACAACTTTTAATGGATTGGCTTGGTAGGAGCAGGTCTTCAGAGAGGTGTTCCTTGTAGCTGCACCATCCCTCCCTTCCAATTTGAAATAAATATGTACCTTATTATCCTTGTTAACTAAATGCTGCTGACCATTAAACTACCGAAGGATTCCTGTTGGCTCCCCTTATCTTCCAATAGGAAGCACATATACTTTCATAAAATAAAATTGTTAGTGGTAATTAATTCAGAAGGCATAACCAATAATCAGGTTGAAGTGAGTACAAATCGCACAGGAGCAGTTTTAGAATGTGAATTCAGTTTAAAAAGTAATATTGATTGACATTAAATAATATTAATTTACAGTATATGAACAGCTTTTCGACCTAATTGGCTTGTGTCAACATTCATGCTTCATAGGACCCTGCTCCCACTCCTCTTCATCACATCCTATGAGCACCTCCTTCTATTTCTTTTTCATTCTTCTCGTCCCCTTTTTTTTGATTTACTAAATAATTTTGACTGCACCACGAATTCCACTGGAAACCGATTTTGGATTATCAGTCGAGTTTGGGATGTCTTTCATTTACATCTGCTAGAAGCTACATATATTCATGAACAGGAATAGTGAGTATTCTTTGTACACAAAAGGAACTTGGCCATACATTCCATCTTTTGCAAGGTGGAAAGGGTTACAGAGATTGCCAATCCCTGCTTCATATCCCATGCAATGGCTTGACCGATCAGAGTCTACCTGCCTGGCCTGGTTTTTTTTTGATCAACTAACGAAGATTGACAGTTAATGGTTCCTGCTGAATCTCCAGTCCAACCATTGACCAACGAATCAGCATCCTCTTTTCATGCTGTACAAAATCTAGGTTAGTTTCTTGCATCCCAGTTCCAGTTGAGGGGAAGTGTTGGTGTAGGAGTAAAATCACTAGACCACAGCATCAGGTTAATGGGTTGGGGACATGGGTTTGAATGCTACCACAGTAGATGGTGAAACTGAAGTCAATAAAATCTGGAATTAAAAAAAATCTACAAAATGGCGAGCATGTAATGATTTTCAATTGTTATAAACCCAGCTGGTTCACTAATGTCCTTTAGGGAAGGAAATCTGGCTTACATGTGGCTCCAAACCCACAGTAATGTGGTTGACTCTTACCTGCCCTCTGCAATGGTCTAGAGAACCTGGTCAAAATAGGGATAGACAACAAATACTGACCTTGTCAGTGACACTCATATCCCATACAAGAATAAAGTCCTGATGTAAAGCTTTGACTTTGCGCCTCCTTTTATTAATGTTTTTGCTTGTACTATCATGCAGTTATTTGTATTCCCTATGTGCTTATTTGTTTCTGGAACTACCCCTTAACTGCATCTATAATATTCATGCACTTTATTCAAAAAAATATTAATTTGCTGAAAGTAGAAAAGCTGGAATCAGTGAGAAAGTCTATGAAATTGTTGGACTGTTATTAACACACTAATACCCATTAACGAAGGGTATTACAATGAAGCACAACAAACCTGGAGGAGCACCACACTTTACAGCCTTTGGGACTCAGAATTGAGTTTTACAACTTCAGGCTGTGACCCCTGTATCCCAATTTTCCTCCATCCTGCACCTTATGTTGTTGTGTCTTGCTTGGCTTTGCTCTCAGCAGAATCAGCCAATTTTCTTCATTTCACATCTAACATTTATACCTATTTCACATCTCGATCTCTCATTTACCACCAGTATCACTGCCTTTGTCTTTTGCTCTGAGCGTCCTCACAATCTACTCCACTTAGTTCTCCTCCTCTTCTGTCAACATTAGACTCATACTGGACTCAGAACATTTACTCAAGACCTTCCGAGTTTCTCCAATACTTCCTGTTTTTATTTCTCATTACCTGGTTTGGGTCTGTATGTGACATCAAAGAGTCTGAATATTAACTGTCTTGTGAAATGCCCCAGAAAGCCCATAGGTTATGAAACATTCCTCAGGGTTAATAGGGGTAGGTAATTGGCCAGCTTATCCTGAAAATTAAGTGTTGTGTGTTGTGTTCAAACCAGGTTTTCTGGTACTTAGTACATTAGTTTGAATGCTTTTTGCAATAAACGATGGTCCATAGGCAATAGCTCAACTATTAATCCAGAAACTCAGCTACTATTCTGGGACTCAGGTATAAAACCCACCATGGCAGATAGTGGAATTTGAAATCTTTTTTTTAATTTGGAATTAAAAATCTACTGATGACCATGAATCCATGACTGATTGTTTGAAAAATCCCTCTGCCTGACTAATGTCCTTCAGGAAATCCTCACCTCGTCTGTCCTCCAGACCCACAGCAACGTGGTTGACTCTCAACTGCCCTCTGAAACTCAATTCAAGGGCAGCCAGGAACAGGCAATAAATGCTGGCCAGCCAATGATGCCCATGTCCTACGAGTGAATTTAAAAAATATATACTTCCAGTTCAGTTTCCAAGAAATTATCCTTAGATATCATTCCTTAACAGTACTGTGGGTGTTTCTATGTCACATGGACAGCAGCAGTTCAATAAGTGGCTCCTCTTCTACTTACTCAAGGGACGGACAATAAATACTGCACTTGTAGTGATGCCCATATCCTGTAAATGAATGATTAAGACATAATTTCTTTCTACTTTCTCCTTGAAGAAAATAAGGTTGAAAGGAGAATTGACAGAGGTATTCAATTTCATGAGGGGGTTCAGAACAGAGTCATTAAGGACAAACTGTTCCTGTTGGCAGATGATTGAGAAAGAACTAAAGGACAAAGATCTAAGGTCTTTTGCAAAAGAATTGAATGTATCATGAGGAAAAACATTTTTATTCAGTGAGTAGTTAGATTCTGAAGTGCACTGCTTGTGAATGTGGTGGTGGCAGATTCAGTTGTGGCTTTCAAAAGGGAATTGCATATGTAAGGACTGTGTCGTTTTATTTTTTAAGATATTTTTAGTCATGGACTGAAATGAGAAAAGAACAACTTTAAAAACCAAGGATTGCTACATGTTTTGAAAGTAATGATGCCCTTGTAATCCTGTCATCTAATGACTTAAAACCAATAGGTTACATGAGTAGGATTTGGAGATATTAATAGAGAAAAAAGGAGTCAGGAAATGCCAACGTCCATGATATTTGCAGCATCGCTGAATCACCCACTATAAACATCCTGGGGTTCACCATTGACCAGAAACTCAACTGGACTCGCCATATAAATATATTGGATACAAGAGCAGGTCAGACGGTAGTAAAACTGCGGCAAGTCACTCACCTCCTGACTCCCCAAAACCTGTCCACCATCTACAAGGAACAAGTCAGGAGTGTGATTGAATACTCCCTACTTGCCTGAATGAGTGGAGCTCCAACAAAACTCATTAAGCTTGACACCATCCAGAACAAAGAAGCCCACTTGATTGAAACCACATCACAAGCAACCACTTCCTCCACCACTGACACTCAAAAACAGCATCTATAAGATGCACTGCAGAAATTCATCAAAGATCCTTAGACAGCATCTTCCCAACTTACGACTACAATCATCTGGACAGGGCAGTAGATACATGGGAACACCACCACCTGCAAGTTCTCCTTCTGGGCACTCACCATCCAGACTTGGAAATAAATCACATTTTCTTCGCTGTCCCTGGGTCAAAATGCTGAAATTCCCTCCCGAAGGGCATTGTGGTCTACCTACATATCGCACAGGGTCTGTAACAGTTTGAGAAGGCAGCTCACCACCACGTTCTCAAGGGCAATTAAGGATGGGTAATAAATGCTGGCCAGCCATCAACACACACACCCCACGAGTGAATGAAAAAGATGTCCTGCTGTTGGATTTCAGCAGCAATTCCAGTCCAGATTTTCAACGGCGATTATACTATGACAAGTTCACAGGTAGAACATGCTCACTTAACTATTAACTTTTCTACTGTGAAAAGAATGCGAAAGAATAACATTTACCATTGTGCATCAGACTGGTACTTGCTGGGGTCTAATATTTAATGAGGATTGGTTAATCAGGTTTAAAGTTAAAATCAAATTGCTACCAACTGGATGTGATTGTTGCTGTAACTGAGAAGTAGGGAGGTTATGCTTCAGTTATTTTTTTGTATTCATTCACAGGATGTGGGGCATTGCTGGCCAGGCCCTACTTGCCCTGACACAATTAATAGTTAACAGACAATCACATTACTGGAGTCCGGAGTTACATATAGGCCAAACCAGATAAGGATGGCAATTACCTTCCTGAAA